AAAAATATAAAAATAAAATAGAAAATAATTAAATAAGATCAGTGAATGTACATGAAGATATAAAGGCCAGAAAGGTATTAAGTAACTTACATTCTTTCTAGTGGGGGAGTGGCAATGTGTTTCTTCGTGTCTGACTCAGAAGTGTAGGGTGTCCGAAATTTTATATACTTGCATTTCAAAATTTTGTATATTTTGCCAGTGAGCTAAGATTAATGCTGTTACGTATAAGTTCATATTATGTGGAAAAATAGTTTTTGATCTAACACTTTCTGAGAATTTTTTAATGTTGATCATCAAGCTTAAGCATATGGCTGAAATTACCAGTATTAACCATAATTTAATTATTCTCCTGTTTTCAGCGTTTCTCAAACTTTTTTCGAATAGAGATTATGTGAATTATATAATTTGTGAATCACCTTGCTGCTGTTCCCTTCGAAAGCAATTTTTTAGCATATATTACTACTAGTACACTTATTTTAATATATAATTAAAATCCATTATTTTCATAATTAAGTCCATTGAGAAAAGTTATATTTCTAATATTTCAAGATTATTAATGAGAAGGATGATTGTAATTCTTGCATGGCTCTTCTTATTGGATATGATGGTAAGACCACAGTCTTAGTGGATATATATAGATATTTGGATATATGGTGGTAAGTACCACAGTTATAGTGCTTTAAATCCATCTTTTACTGCTAAGAGAGGTGGGAAGTCTGTAAGTAGGGTAACCAATAATAAATTCATAAAATGTCTATCTTACGATAAAAGGTGATAGATGATTGTCATATGTAACTTTTAAACTCTGAGATTTTTCAACTAAATTTTTTTGTCTCCTTTGGAAACTTCGGAGGCCATGAGGGCAAGTGTATGATTCACAGATTGAGAAGTGCTACCTTAACATTTCAATTTCTAGAGAAATTAATCTTAAAAAAAATCTGATCATTATTAAAACTACTTTACAGATTTATTTTATATTAAATAAATATAGTAATATCTAAAACCTCAAATTATTTCTGCAAAATGAATTATTTAATTTGTACTGTTTTTGCTTCAAAAATGGATGATACATGCAGTTTTGATTTCATGAAAGGACCAAAAGGAATCTTGTTGCAATTTAATTATTTAATTTAAAAAAAGATTTAATCATTTGGAATATGTGCAAGTGCATGCAATTATTATGAAGAGTTTCTAAATTAAAATGTCACATAACAATTTAGAATATGTTATGTACTTCTAAAGATGTGATTTTTTCTTTATTAGGGCCATGCTTTGACCTAAGAAGAGAGGGACTGCACCTTCACAACTAGTTAATTAAAAATAACAATATAAATTTTACCTATTTTTTATTTTATTTTCCTTTTGGATAGTTTTCAAATAAAAATAAACCTATTTTGTTTCTATATTCTGTGTATTGAATAAAGAGTCGAAATCCATTGCAATATCCATATTTTCAAAATATGATATTTTTTTGAAATAAATATATGATTATGGAATATACGTTAAAATGAAATGGTTCCTTATGTAACCTGTATGTTACACTAAAAGGCTTCATCGAATACTTGTAAAGTAATGAGCAAAACTAAGTTAATATCTTGTGTGAATGAATATATATCTTACAAGAATTTTTATTCCATAAAAATCTATCTAAAAATATAATTTGTTGAATGAAGATTTAAACATTTTCCCCCAAGATTTAAAAAGTCGTTTGAAATAATGATAACAAAAACATTAATCTGAACCATTTAATAAATGAATAGAAAATTTTGAGAAACAATTAAATCATCCACAGGAATTTTGAAATAATCATCGTATTTTTGACATCAGTTAAAGAAAGAAAATTTGAGTCATTTTGATTATAGTGATAAATTAGTTCCATTAATAGTAGGATAGAAAATTAAATTTTAAGGAGCCATTATGCATTATCAATTTTTCATTAAAAAATTTTTAGTTTATTACTACTATCATATCAATTATTAATGCTGAATTCTTTATCTTCAGGTTTTTACATTCTTTTCTTAATTTTCTAGGCATAGCAGAGAAAAATATAATTATAGGATCAAGGCATTTCCAAATACATTATATTTTCTTCCTTAAATTTTTTAAGATCATTCTATATTCATCATGTATTATAGACACAGTATCAGGGGATTCTGTTCAATTTTTCAGTTAGAATTTGGGACGAAGTTGTGAAGTCATACCTACATTAAATGCTTGAATTGATTATTTGAAATATGACAAAGCAAGAGAGGGCCATCTGTCCAAGGAAAGGAATATTTTAAGGAAAACTTCATGTTACACAAACATTTACACAGGCAGCCCATTCTCTAGGATTTAAATCTAGAACCAAATGCTAGTGTTCAGCTTACTGTCTGACTGCCTGTAGGCAATAAATGTTTTAGTAGAAGGAATACTTGAAAAATTAAATTTAGGACTAATTCTTCAATTTTGTATTCAATGAGAAGAATGTAATTTATTAATAAAGTTTTAAATCTGGGAAAATACCTATACAACTGTCGATTAATTAATCTATTATTTCAATTAATGGTCAGTAGCAGAAGAGATTAAAAAGCATTTATGCCTAAAGAATTATATGTTGTAATTAAATGAATAATGCAATTAAGCATGAAAATAATTTTGGATAACTTGTGATAACTGAATTTAAGTTCATTGTTGAGTTACATAAGTAATTTTTTTTAGAATTTGAAAAATATTTAGAATTGTTATTGAAACAATTTCATTAAAATATTTTTTACTGTAATCATATCCAATTGCAGTCTCTTTAGATTACACTGTTGGGTATAAGAAGAATGATTTGGTTTAGTTTACTTAAGTATGGCAAAGCACACTAGGACTATCTGCCTAAGTGGAGAAATGAAATGCCTTTGTGGAGGACTTTCAAAGGGAAACTGACTTATATACATGTTACACATGGAGAAAACCATGAAAATACCCATACAACCAGCCCCCATTCGCGGGATTTGAACCTCGGACCGAACTACCGTGCTCAGCGGGGGAATTCTAGAACATTACTAATTTATTGCCAAAAAACCATTAAGTCTAATACACAAGTTTTTTTTTCCAGCTATTTCGTGATGCATATGTAACTTTGAGATGTCTTAAAATTCAATAAAGGAAAGTAATGCAGATGTAAGAAAAACATAAAATTTGAGCTTCTTTTTAACATTGGGAATATTTTGAAAGAAAATGTTGTATATCTTTTAGAAAATCTAAGGTATTTTTCCTTTAAAAAAAAAAAAAAAAAAAACTTAATATTTAAAGTTACATAATTTCCCTTTCCCCACTAATAAATAAATGCAGCATATTTTGTTACAAGCAGTAGCTGTAGACATTTCACATAAAACATATGTTCTACATGTGTAATTATTTATAGTAATATTACAATCAAAATATTTAATATTTAGGAATACATCATTTTTGTATTTTGTATAAGACAAATATGTTCTATATGCATAATTATTTGGAAGAACTTTTAAGTAAATTATCTGCAACTTTTACATATATATCCTTTAAAATTTCACATGAAATACATGTTCTTACATAATCACTTGCAATAACCTTACAAGCAGAACACTAGTAATCTACAAATATTCCCTTTAGTAATTCACATTCAAAAATTAACGATCTACTTACAACTATTATTTCCTGTAATCTTTACAGATGTTTACATTGGTAAATCAACATATGAAAAACATGTTATACTTACACGATAATTTCCTGTAACATTACAGGTCAAATAACTGTAACCTTTACAGGCATATGCTTCGGTTATCAAACTTACAAAACTTTGTTATGCCTACAGAATAACTTCCTGTAACATTACATGTCAAACATCTGTAACCATTACAGGTATAATCTCTGTAAAGTTACTAAGAAAATTCCTGTTTTGATTACTCAAATAATCCATGGCATCTCAGTTTCCACGACTTTTCTTAGTAACTTTACAGATTTTTTTTACAGTGCAGTAAGCCTAACCACCTCTTCATCTAGCCATCCAAACGCCTCTCAAGCTGAGTCTACCCATTCTAACGATGTGGAATCAAGCATGGAATGGATTACCCCCAGCCACAGTGTTAAACGGCCGCTCAGTCCTGAAAAATCAGCCGAATTGGAGTTGAAAAACCAATACCATGTGCTAACTCAGCTTCCTCCCGAAAAAGCTCATACCCATGGCACTGAACTGATTACTCACTCAACTACCCAAGGCGATGTTGCAGTAAAACGCAGGATGAAACCGAGGGCTGCAAAAGCTGATGATTCATCAAAAAAAACCGATTGAAATCTCTTCCACAAACCCATCTAAAAGTAGCGGCCAGTAGCCACGCTAATGTGGCGCCATCTAGTGAGACCTCCGAGAAGCCGGCTGCAAGTACGTCCCAGACGGAAAGCATGGTGCGGCCTATCGGTACTACAGATGAGGTCACGTGCCCGGCTTGGGCTAATAAGTGATGCTCATGTATCTGAAGCTAGTGGGCCAAATGACGCTCATACTCCCCAGGCTGGCGCAACTCAAACTAGTACGGACGGGCACTTTACATTTGTCCCAAAATTCCCCGCTAAAATGCCCCCAATTTGCATTGAAGGATGTAAATTTAATTGGAAAGATTTTAATGAGATGTTGGAAAAAGAGGAATTAACCGATTTCACCGCAAAACGGAAAGCACAAGGACAATATGAGATACATACAAAAAACCCTGAAACACACAAAAAGATGACTACACTTTTCAAGGCACACGATCTTTCATATCACTCCTATCAGTTGCCAGATGAGAAAAACTTGAAGGTTGTAATTCGGAATCTCGATATTGACATTGACCCGGCATACATACAAGAAAAGCTTGAAGAGAAAGACTTCAAAGTTCTAAAAGTCGAGCAATTATTGCGGCGAACGAGGAACAGAACGCGAAAAACTACCCTTATTTTTGGTCACTCTACCCAAAAATGAGCAGAACAAGCGCATACACCAATTGAAATTTCTCATGAGGCTGCACATCAAAGTTGAGAGATATAGGGGACGTAGAGGCCCCACACAATGCTACAGATGTCAGCGATATCATCATGCACAAGCGGCATGTAATCACCCACCACGCTGCTGCAAATGTGCGGGAGACCACGAAAGCCGAGATTGCCTCAAACCCAAGGACTCTGAAACCACGTGTTGCAACTGCCTTGTAAAACATACTAGCAAATGGAGAGGTTGTGATGCCTTTCCCATACAGAAACCCGAAGCTGACGCTATCCCTAAAAATGAGGACCGATTTGTGGTAAACAAATCCTATGTTCAGGCTGCTAAGTCTGGTATATTTGCTGAAAAAATTACTAAGGCAGTTTTAGAAGCCAAAAAAGTTATGCAAAACTTACAGGACCTCATTTCTCTGTTACATAACTCTCATCACATGATCACTGAACCCAACTTAGTAAGACCTCAATCTATCTCTAGTTATGAACCTTAGGCCGCAATTAAAAATAAATCAAGTGATGGTCTTAACCTGGAATGCCCATAACCTCACAAACAAACTGGGTGAACTACAAGATTTCCTTCATACACATAACATTGACATTGCCCTCATTACTGAAAACACGCCACGCCCGCACACTCACTAAGCATCCCAAGCTATCGCAGTTACAGGTGTGACAGAATTCGGCACAGAGGAGGAGGCGCCCTTATTTACGTAAACAGCAGTTTTAACTCAAGCTATCATTCTTCGGATAACAGTAATGGATTTGAAGAAGTAAGAGTTACTGTTCACATTCCTAAATGGGGAGGAATCACAATATGCACCCTTTACAATTCCTCCCTCACTCAATCTCCAACATCAACACCTTCTCAATCTTTTAAATAATCCATTTCCCACTTTATTAGGCGGTGACCTAAATGCCAAACACACCAGCTGGGGATGCCCTAGGACCAACGAAAACGGCGAAATTCTTTATAATTTCCTTTTCAACAACCCATTCTACATTCATCCCCCAAATGAGTTCACTTTCCGACCGACTAATACCAGACAACAGTACACAGATATTCTGGACTTATTTTTATCATCCACGAATTTTCCACTTGCCACGGAAGTGATAGACGATTTATCATCGGACCATGTTCCAGTATTGGCGCACTTGGGAATCTACAAAGTGGAGAAGGAGCACATTTCTAAAAGCACAGACTGGAATAAGTTCAAAAAATTGGTAAACATTCAGATCTCCAAGCAAGTATCCACTAAGTACCACAGAGGATGTTGATAACGCCATACAAAATATTACTGAACATTTAAATGATGCCTTCAAGAATGCCACTGGGGAAATAAAAACAAATAAAGATTATTTAAAACTAGCCTCAGACATAAAAAACATGATCTGAGAAAGGAACAGACTCCGTAAGCTCTACATCTATTCACGTGACCCAGCGGTTAAGTCGCTGGTCAATAAAATGAACAGACAGATTAAAAACCTCATTGACGAGCACCGCATCACCACCTGGAACCACGCGATCGACAATCTTAACGTTGAAGATGGTGCATTCTGGAAATACATCAGAAGGCAAAAAGCAAGCAAAACCAAAAAAATGCCACTGAAAAACAACACCTGAGCACTTATATACGGATGAAGAAAAAGCAAATGCTTTCTCTGACCACTTCACAGAACAATTCAAGCCAAACGCAAACTCTTCCGATCCTACTTTTATAGAACATGTAAATAACACTATCGAAAGATGGCTATTCCAACCTACAGCTCGGAATATCCCAAATTTCATTGTCCCCACTGAAGTAAACACCATTATTTCAAAATTGCATAATCGCAAAGCGCCCGGCAAGGACAATATCTCAAATAGAATGAGTAAAAATTTACCGAGTCGCTACATCCCCGAACTATGTGGGATCTTTAACCACGCGTTCAATAAAGCCTGTACTTGAGTTACTTCCCAACTGCATGGAAACATGCAACGATTATTCTTATCCCTAAGCCCGGGAAAGATCTTACACAGGTAGAAAGCTATCGTCCGATTAGCCTGTTACAAACACTAGGCAAAATTTTCGAAAGAATTATTTATAAACGTCTGGATTCTGTACTGAGCTCACTGCCTGATCAGCAGTTCGGATTTAGAAGAGGACTCTCTACCACCATGCAGCTGGTTAGGATAGTAGAGTTTATTAATTCTGCAATCCATAAACATCAGACGACAGCGTTTCTTATGCTAGACGTGGCCAAAGCTTTTGACCGCGTCTGGCATAATGGGCTTATTTATAAAATGCTTACTCTCAATGTCGCCAAGGAGATGATTCTATTAATTTATTCTTTTATCACGAATCGCACATTTGCCATCAGATACGGTAATTTCTACTCCCCCCTCAGACAAATTCAGGCCGGCGTCGCCCAGAGCTCAAATTTAGGTCCTCTCTTGTACCTGATTTATGCAATGGATTTCCCGCTTTTTGACGATAACATTAACTGCATCACAGCATGTTATGCTGATGATACAGCCATTCTGTCCTGTTCCTTAAATCCCGACCATGCAATTAAACGCATACAGGGACGTACATGCGAAGAAATTGAGAAATGGTGTCGTACCTGGAGAACCTGTATCAACGCCACCCAAACAACCCAAACACAGCTTTTGCTTATCGGACGACATATAGAAGGAAAAACGTACACACTGAACTCACACTATTTAATGAAAAAATTCCGAAAGTTAGCAAAGCAACCTATTTAGGTGTGCGATTTAATACAACGCTCACCCGAAACCCCCATATATCAACTGCTGTCGGCAAAGCAACTGGTATTGCTCGCAAACTCAACCCGATCATCAATGCATCCTCAAAACTTGATCTCGCGTGGAAAAAGCGTATTTATACATCAAATACTTCGCCCTGTGCTCACGTATGCTTCACTGGCCTGGTGTACCGCATCTAAGTCTGATTTCCAAAAACTCCAAACATTCCAAAGTATCTTCCTTCGAAAAATCAAGTGAGCGCCCTGGTTCATCCGTAACGAGGATTTACACAAAGATCTAAAAGTCGAAGATATCAAAACGCACATCGGACATATTAACAATAACTTTTTCAACAAAGCGATTAGCAACGACACGGTTCATTTTGCCGATAACTTTAAGTATGAACTTTTAGAAGATGATTTTAACCTACGCCCATATGCCACCCATCTTTTAACATTTGATATCTGATTCCTGTCCTTTGCACAGTCACTTTTTATTTCTCATCTTTTCATATTCACAAAGGCCCTAAGGGACAGCATTTTCTTTATTATATAGCATTAATTTACAGTGAAATAAAATCGTACATTTTTTTTTTTTTCATTTTGCCTTAGCCACTTCGAACAGCTAATTTTAAATATATGATCTTACGTTCTACATCTTTAATTTCTGGGAAATTAATACTTAAAATATTAGTTACAATAACTTGCCTTAAAATAGTTCCAGCTGCTTAACCACGCCAAGAACAGAATGCAATTACTTTTGAATCTTATTATTAGTCCAAAGAGCGTTTAATTTCTTTTGGAATTTTGCGTTGGTTAACGATAAATGTCGGTTCACTTTTCAGTTGCCACCAAATATTAAAACCATGTGTTATATGTAAAGAAATTAAATAATGAAGAATATACGTAGATATATATGTTTCTCGCATTGGTATAAAACAACGGTATCTATAGCCATCAAATTTTCAATAATGTAATCTTCCAATGAATATGGGCATTGGGAAGCCCAAATTTGGAATTTTAAATTTGTTTTATCATCGATTTCATATTTTGTAACACATTAACGAATTTCTGATTAACAAACTCAACGATTTCAAAGAGAGGAATGGCAACACTCTACGGAAAAAAAAAAAAACATTTTTATCTTCAGCGCGAGACTCCAGCGTGTATCGAAAACTCTAAAGATATCCTCATTTTTAAATTATTTTGCGATATTGCTATTGAATTAAATTTTATGGTTTAAGTGCGAAGAACATGATATTTAATAAATAAAGGTAGCATACGAAACGTTAAAAAAAAAACGCCCCTTGGAGCGTAATGTAAAATCTGAAAGCTTTAAGATTTTCTTTTTACATGTTTTTTTTAATTTTCAAAATATGTTTTTAATTTTTCAAAACGTTAATGATAAATTATTCGCAATGTTAGGTTATAATCTGAAGTTTTCGGATAACTTATTTTATTTAATTTTAACGAAAAACTGAGTTACTTTACTTAAACCAAAGGGGGCATAGCCATTTAGGGTAACACAATCTTTCAGGTAAGTGAAAGTCTAGATTTTAATTTATTCCTAATTTAGATTATTAAATACCAGTTAACCATTCAGTCAGTTGGATTCAGTCTATTGAAAATAAACTCAACGCTTGATATACTGTATGTAAACAGTGATATAAATTAGTTCGTTTAGTATAGCTAGTGTTATATTACTTCTTATTTTTTTAGAGTCAAGAAAGAGCTCTTAATCTGTCAATCCTTTCTGTGTCCCGGCCGCGTAAGTTTTCCCGTGTTGAGTCAAATTAATCCGCATGTGGTGTTTGCTTCCAAGTAAATTGAAGGGCCGTTTAGAAGCTAAGCACCACAGTATGGGTGGCAAACATCGTGACTTTTTGCCACAAAGTTAAAAGAATTGCAACAACATTTTTTTTTTTTTTTAAGCACTGCATGAATACCGAACAATATCTTGCAGCATCTTACAAAGGCGGCTTATAGAATTGCGAAATACAAGAAGATTCATACCATCGCAGAAGACCTTATTCTACCGGCTGCTGTAGATATGATGAACATCATGGTTGTTGAATCTACTAAAAGCTGCTTTTAAAAGTTCTTTTTTTTTTTTTTTTTTTTTTTTTTTCCAATAACACAATTAGTGGAAGAATACAATATACGACGGATGATATCAAAAATCAATTTATTGAAAACAATTAAAGGAGTGGAATTTGATTCCAGCTAAATGAGACTACGGGCAATAATGAGGATGCTCATTTGATATGTACGGTTTATATGGTAGTAATAATATTAAAGAAGAAGCCTGTTTTGCAAAAATATCACTGCAGGAGCGAAGGCTCGGGACCTATTCGAGATTCTTGACACATTCTTATCTGAAAATATTGAATTGACCTAAGTGCATAGGTGTCTGTACTGATGGAGCTCTCTCCATGTCTGGCTGCTAAGGAAGATTACAGAGCTTATTTCAAGCAAATGACTAAATGCACTGTGGGCCCATTGCATTATTGATAGAGAAGCGCTTGCGTCAAAGCACTTGAGTCCTGCACTGAATCAGGTATTAGAATGTGTGGTGAATGAGGTAAATTTTATAAAATATCGTCCATTTAAAGCAAGGAGTTTTAAAAATTTGTGTGAGGATATGGGAGCCAACACTCATGTTTGTTGTACTTTAGCAGCGCACGGTGGCTCTCTTATGGTAATGTTTTATCACGTACCTTTGAATTGCGGCAAGAAAATTTTATTTTTC